AGGAGATCCAATAGGAGATCCAACAGGTGATCCAACAGGAGATCCAACAGGAGATCCAATAGGAGATCCAACAGGAGATCCAATAGGAGATCCAACAGGTGATCCAACAGGTGATCCAACAGGAGATCCAACAGGTGATCCAACAGGTGATCCAACAGGAGATCCAACAGGAGATCCAATAGGAGATCCAACAGGTGATCACCAGGTGATCCAACAGGAGATCCAGCAGGTGATCCAGCAGGTGATCCAACAGTAGATCCAACAGGTGATCCAACAGGTGATCCAACAGGTGATCCAGCAGGTGATCCAGCAGGTGATCCAACAGGAGATCCAACAGGAGATCCAGCAGGTGATCCAGCAGGTGATCCAGCAGGTGATCCAACAGGTGATCCAACAGGTGATCCAGCAGGTGATCCAACAGGTGATCCAACAGGTGATCCAGCAGGTGATCCAACAGGTGATCCAACAGGTGATCCAGCAGGTGATCCAGCAGGTGATCCAACAGGAGATCCAACAGGAGATCCAACAGGTGATCCAACAGGTGATCCAGCAGGTGATCCAACAGGTGATCCAGCAGGTGATACACTATCTGATCCAGCAGGTGATCCAGCAGGTGATCCAGCAGGTGATCCACTAACTGATGCAGGAGGAGATCCTCTGAATTCTGATGACACCAGCAGATCGATGATCATCACACTGAAGCTTGTTGACTTATTAACATCATTCAGCTTAATATTTAACTTTACTAAAGACTTTCATCAGACCACCTGTCCTCCTGTCCTCTTGTCCTCTTATCATCTTGTCCTCTTGTTCTCTTCTTGCCCTCTTGTCTTCTTTTTGTCTTCTTCTTGTCCTCTTGTCTTCTTCTTGTCTTATTGTCCTCTTCTTGTCCTCTTGTCTTCTTTTTGTCTTCTTCTTGTCCTCTTGTCTTCTTCTTGTCTTATTGTCCTCCTCTTGTCCTTTTGTCTTCTTGTCCTCTTGTTTTCTTCTTGTCTTCTTGTCCTCTTGTCTTCTTCTTAAATATTAATATTTACATTCTGACTTCTAAAATAGTTTAAATCTAACAAGTTGTTATTATTTTAAATGTGTGTGTTGATGATCTAATGTTTTATGTTTTATGTTTTATGTTTTATGTTTTGGTGTTTTGGTGTTTTGTGCAGCTTGTTGTGTTGGACGATTATTGAAATATGATTGATATGTTTGCTCTCCAGAGGCTCTGACCTGTGGGGCCCCTGAGGGCCTCTTCAGAGCGTAACGTCTCTCAAACTCTGAATAATAGAATCTGATGTTATGGATTATATTTACTGATATTTTATGATTTATGGATGTTTTTATATCAACGATGACCTTTACTGTGATAATGAACTGAATGTATTTATTAAAGACTTTAACTGATCGGATATGAAATAATAAGAAGAAGAATCTGTTTCATACTTTAACGTTTGTTGTTTTGTCAAATATAAATTAAATGTTTAAAAACAATCTGATGATCAATTTAAATATTAATAATTTAAAAACATTGATCGATTATTAAAACACTTTCTCTTTCATCTCTTTTATTTGATACCTTTTTATGTTTTGATTCACTATATTTGAAATGAGCTTGTTTCCCTTTTGATGAATAATATTTAATGTTTCTTCTTCTTGTATTTCTTCATGACGGAGGTTCCCAACCTGAGGGTCGGGGCCCCGTGAAGGGCCGTAGGATGGAGATCGTTGGGTCATGAGATGAAGAACAAGCAACGCTCCTTATGACAAATATTAAATATTAAATATTAAAACCTGAGAATCATTTTGAGGAAAAAACAGTTTCTACCGTAAATGTGTCCAGTGAAGAAGAGTTTGATCCTCAGTAAAAAAACATCGAAACACAAAACATCTGAGTTCTTCCTTCACGAACAGTTTATCATAAATATATAAATATATATTTATATATACAGTATATAAGAAAAAGCATTCGTGGTTTCATTTAATTACAGATTAGCAGTAATTTATTACTGAGATTAGATTAATTGGATTATTAAATCTTAATTAAATTCACAGGATTTGCATGTCAGTAATTATTCTGTATTTATGTATATTTCATAACTTCATGTTTATAGTTTATACTTCATGCTGAACAGCTTCTGATTGTATGAAGCAACAATAAGGTTAATACAAAAGAAGAGAAGATAAAATAAAAACATGAAGCTCTAAATGACGTCACGTTTATTAAATACAAAAGAATAAAAATCATGAAACGTCATTTTAAACAGAAAACGTCACTTTTCTAACAGATGAAATCATTAAATCAATACATCTGTTTATGAGACGGATGTTTAAAGAACCTTTAATGTAGAATCAAACCTCCAGAACTATTCATATTAATATGTATGTTATTATAACAGTTTGTTTATTAGAAAATACATAAATATTCGTTCATAAAACATTTAAAACGTAAATTATTTGGTTTTCCAGTAAAAAAAGGATTTCTGCAGTTTTGTTAAAAAGAAACAAAATCTCAAATAAATATTTACATTTTACGGCAACACATTGTTTATTTTGTTATAATTAATATATATAAATACATATATATAAATAAGTATATATATATTTATATTTAGTGGTTTGTCGAAGTGAAACACCCGGTTTTATTATTTATTAATAAAGAATCCTCTGATCGTTCTTCTCTTCTTTTATAACTTTAATGTTTTACTTCTCAAACAGGTTTTATGATATTTATATTTATATTTTCAGACTGAGTGACTTTATGATGAGACACGTGACCCGCTCCGCTACATCCGGGTCCTCGCGTGATGGATTAAGGATCAGCTGTTGAAGCCGCTTCACTGACTTTCAATTTGCGGGAAAACGAGCTGCTGATGAAACGTGACGCGTCACAACTTATTGCTTTTTATTTCTCTGCTCAACGATCACTTATGACGTTTCAGTTTCATCAAAAACTGCTTATACATTTAATAATAACAATGTTTTTATTGTTTTATCTTTTTGTTAAAATCGAGTCAGAAAGTTTGAATTTATCTCAAAAAAACGAAAATAAAAAATAAATCTTTCAAAGGCCTCAAATGATCTCTGCAGTAAGTCAATAATATAATAGTATTAACAGTGATAATAATATGAATTATAATAATTAAAGGATATTTATTTGCAGCAGAAATAAAAGAGTAAATTGATGAATATTAATTAAATTATCGGGTTGAAGCAGATGACGTATTAATCAGTCCCGTCGGTATTTAATTTAACATGTGTAATAATTATATAATATATAATTATGTAATAATTATGAATTATTAATGAAGAGCTTTGCAAACAAGAAGCAAACATTTGAGTTTTTATTAAATAAAAGTGCATTACATCGAGCCGCCGTCATACAACAGATAAATAAAGGTGAGCGGATGTACAGGTGCGTGTGGTGCGTTCAGGGCCGATTGAAGAGGCCTTCACGGACTACGTGAAGGTTAAATATTCTTCTTTTTTTGTGAATCCAAAAAGTAAATCAAAGTGTTTCAGCTGATCTGAGATCAGCGCGTCTGTACAAACACGTTAACGATTCACAGCAGCATCTCTTCCACCGGACACCGGACACGGTTCACGGTTTATTTACAACTTTAGTCCCGACAGGAAGTCCTCTGTCCGCGTGCAAAAAGCTAAAAAGAGATAAAAACCAAAAATGTGCGACTCCGAGAGTTCGTTTGATCCAGAAACGGAAGAAGAAGAAGAAGAAGAAGCACCAGAGAAGAAGAAGAGTCTAGGAGCTGTCGTTCTCTGAGTGCAGCAGCAGACCCGGACCCAGACCCGGACCCGGACCCGGTTTGTGCTTCTGCAGCAGCTGCGTGATCTTCTCGTCGTCCGAGTTCGGGTCCAGAGGTTTGTTGTAGTCCTCGTCCTCGTCCTCGATGTCCGACGTCCCCTTCAGCCGCTCCGTCTCCGAGTCCTGCTTCTTCTTCGCGGTGGCCATCTCCGCCGCGTGCTTCTTCCTCCACTTAGTCCTCCTGTTCTGGAACCACACCTGAGACACGCGCACGCACACACGCACGCACGCACGCACACACGGTATTATTATCACTGAAGGATTATTAAATATTATATTTCATTCTGCAGAAATAAAGGCTACAAATTAAAACAAACAGTTCTAAATATTATTATTATTATTTAGTCTAAATAGTATAGCAATATAAAATAGAATATAATGTATTTATAATAATAATAATTATATTTAATAACAGATGGAATTTTAAACATAAAAGATACAAAAACAACGAGCTGCACAGAACACGTTTAACGATGCAACAAATAATAAAGATGATGCATTATGGGAAGAATTATTGAAGGAGAGGAAGCTCGTGCACAAATGAAAGAAAGTCCGGAAATAAAGAAGAGAAGAAGAAGAAATGAGCCGCCAGGGTTTAAAGGAATGCAGCGAGAAAATAGAAACATTATGAATGAATTAAGGCTTAAAACAATATCTGAATGTTAAAAAACATTCTTTATTAATTAACGTTTTATATAAAAGTGATAATTCAATATGTTTTAAACTGTGATTTAAAACATGAAGGAACACGTGGTGTTTGTTATTTGGGTGTTTGTTTCTTCATTAAATAAATATATATGATCAGTATTAATATATATTAATATATATGATCAGTATTAATATATATTAATATATATGATCAGTATTAATATATATTAATATATATGATCAGTATTAATATATATGATCAGTATTAATATATATGAGCAGTATTAATATATATTAATATATATGATCAGTATTCATATATATTAATATATATGATCAGTATTCATATATATTAATATATATGAGCGGTATTAATCTGCAGTAATAATCTGAAGGTCCCTACCTTCACCTGGCTCTCCGTCATGCCCAGGGAGTAGGCCAGCCTCGCCCTCTCGGGCCCCGCGAGGTACTTTGTTTGTTCGAAGGTTTTCTCCAGAGCGAAGATCTGCTGCCCGGAGAAGGTGGGCCGCGTGTGTTTCCTCTTCCCGTCTTTGTCCAGAAGGATGGAGTTGTGATCTGCAACCAAAGTCTACATCTGAATATTATGATGTTTTATCTTCTGCTAATTATTCAGACTTTTAAACTAAATAGAAGAAAATAATCGGCAGCGTTTTAGATTCATTGATTTTCTTCATGAATCTGTTGAAACATCTTATTTACAGTCACGAGTCTCTAAATGCTCATTTATACTTTCTATAAACACAAACACGTTAAATCACTTTTCTTATTCATTTGTTATTTTGTGTCACGTTTAGATTCTAAAAGTTAAATCTGTTTTAAAACTCTTTTCTTTTCTCTGAACGCGTTTCACGTCTTTAATCAGATGTAAAGAGTCAAATAATCTGCAGTGTTTTATTTGATACAATTATTATCTTTATCTGACTTCAACATAATTATGAATAAGCTTATTTTCTTTAAATAAGAGGAGAACTCACGCGGTGAACACGCAAACCGCGCGTCCCTCCAGTGCGGACTCTGCAGGACTCCCGGCCAGAAGATCGGCGTCCTGCCCGGCAGGTCCGCCAGAGGCTTCGGGTATCGGGCCACGGCTCCGGGGCTGAAGTAAAGTCCGGGAGGAGGAGGCGGAGGACTGAGGCTGCTGAACCGGGGGAGACCGGACAGAAGCCCCGCAGAGGAGGAGGACGCGGCGGACACCGCGACCGTGGCCCCGAGCAGCGCCGCCGAGGGCCGGCTCAGGATGTCGTTGATTCCGTGCGGGGTCGCGGAGGAGCCGAGCTGCGGAGACATGAGACCCGAGGAGGAGCTCTTGATCCCCGGGGAGGACACCGCCATGCCGCCTGGGTTGGGAGAGGTGGTGGCCGGTGACGTGGAGCAGTTGGGTCCGGTGGAGGAGAGCGGGTAGGCCGGGTACAGAGGGGTCTTCATCTCAGTCATGCTGTGCAGAGCCGCCAGAGGAGGCGTGCTGAGCAGGAAGGCGCTTTGTCGGGACCCGTCCATCGGACCCACCGCTAACATTATACCGCTGCTCTTCTGGACGATCCGGGACCACTGGACCGGGTCTCTGGAGGGTCTTTAGGGGCCCCGCAGCACCTGGTACAGAGAGAGAGGATCCGGACTACAACTAAACCAGAACCCGGTCTTCTCTGGATTTAAAGTCCATCTCAACCTCGATCCGGAGGCTAAAAAAAAGAAAAATCCAAAATAAACTTCAGCTGCAAATAAAAAACAAGTAAAGGAGTTGAGACTGATCGGGGTCCGGGTCCAGCTCCAGACCGCGAGGATCACAAGAGGGTCTGTCTGTAGAGTTGAAGAAGTTGTGTGAGATAATAAAACATGATCATCTGGTGTTCTATTAGCTTCACTTCAACTTCACAGGAGGAGAGGACGAGGCTCCGAGCTCATTGGCTCAGCCCACGGTGACGTGGCACGGCTGGATTTCGGAGAGCCTCCTGGTTGGCTCAGCGGCTCGGCTCTGATTTTGTCGGATGAGACACCATCAAAGAAGAAATAATGTTTGATGCTAAATAAACTTTAGCAAAAGAAGAATGTGGATTTAAAAGTCAGCTGGTTTTTTTAAGTCGAGATACAATTATATTATAATAAATCTACAATTCAAATTATGTAAAATAATAACATGTTGAGTAAAATAAATGAGTAGAAGGTCAAGTTATTTAAATATTAGGACACTTTAATGAACTTTAAAGGATCTGAAACAAAAATATGAACTTTACCTTCAATATATTAAAGAAAACATGACATAATTTATTCTTAATTAATATTCAACATGTAAACAAGCTGCATCATCAGCGTAAACGATGGTTTTCTTTCCTTTGAAATATGATAAAATCTTTTTTTAATTTAATATATTTTCATGAGAAAACTCCTGAAGTCTCTGTGGAGACGTTCAGGTCCGGACCGACAGGTTCAGGTTTTCAGTAGAGCTAGTTTTTTAGCTCGTCTATTTTTTTAACTGGTCTATTTTTTTTAACTCGTCTATTTTTTTAACTGGTCTATTTTTTTTAGCTCGTCTATTTTTTTTAACTCGTCTATTTTTTTAACTCACTTCGCCGGTGGTCGCGGTCCTTCGATTCTACCTTTATTTGTTCAGAGAAGAAGAAGAATTGCTGTTCTTCACATTGATCTTCATCAGGTGATGCTAGTTTAATTCTGGTCAAGATGTGAAAAGTAACATCTGCTCTTATTTTTACAGTCACGAGTTTTAAATGTTCTAAAACACAAAGTAAAATCTGTTTATTTATTTATTAAAGTTCTTTAATGTAAAGATTTAGTCTCAAAACTTAAATCTGTTGAAGTCTGAATGTGGTTCAGATCATAAAGATTTAAATAATATAGACCGAACATCTTTATAACAATAAACATCAAAGACCTTGAACGCACCGTCAGCTGATTTAAACCACAAAGAAGAATCATGTTGTAAAATCTGATTTATGAGATTTGATTCAAAACTGACAGACGGGATAAAATATAAATGACTGAATTATTGTTCAGTTAACATAATTATGTTTTTATTATTTTACATCTTTTCACACTGAAGCGTCTCACTGGGATTAAATCATGTCTTCTGTATATTCATGTGTACTAATACACTCAGTATACATCTACTTGTGGAGAGTACATTTGTGAGTAGTATTGTACTGAGGTAGAGGTTTGAGGTACTTGTACTTTACTAAAGAGTTTTTATACTTCTACTCCATCAGTTATAATTAAACATCTGGAGTCATATTAAAACATGAAATAAGATCATCTCATAAATGCTGAAGCATTGTAGATAACTACATACATGTATAAATATTCAGCATTGAGTCATAATATAATGACTTTAATATAAGATAATCAGTTGATCATGAGTCATTCATCGACTCTGGTTAAATCTCTTTAAGTTATAAAATAAATAAATCATTATTTGCAGATATAAACACTATGTTTAAAATATGTATTTATTATGTTAATGAAATAGAATAACTGTTCTTAGCCCCTCAGTTAGATATTAAACTATACATATTGTATTAATATTCCGTCTGTAGTGACTGCGGTACAGCAGCGCCCTCTGCTGGTCATCTCGCATCATCACTGATCAGTGATCGATACATCAGGTCTGACTCTTCTCTCAGCTGCTCTCATTAACGACATCCTGTCATCACGTGACACCTTCACCTCTGACCCTGCAAAGGATTGTGGGTCCATACTGGATGAACATCCTGGTCTTTATGACACTGGTACTTTATTACTACTGTAGTACTTACGTATATATATATATATATATATACATATATATATACACACGAGGTACTCGTACTAGACTCGAGTACACACGAGGTACTCGTACTAGACTCGAGTACACACGAGGTACTCGTACTAGACTCGAGTACACATGAGGTACTCGTACTAGACTCGAGTACTCTCTTGTTATATATCTATTGATGAGTTTATTATGAACCAGCAGCTCAGTAGTTTATTCATAAAGTATTTTAAGAGTTCAAACATGTGAACAGATGAGACTTTGTGTATGAAGTGAATATTAAATATGAGGAGACGTTATTGTTCAGAACAAGTCGTGTTTTATTCATTCTACTCTCGGGCCATCAGCTTCTGCTTCTTCAGCTTCTTCTGTGAGACCTGCAGAACGAAACTCAGGGTTAGAGAAACACTAGTACTACGAGGTGCTCAGATTTAAACTTTGTTTTCATGTTCATCAAAGGTGTCCTAAGGTGTCATCAGTGCAGCACAGAGGCTCCTCCCCCCTTCCCTACCTCCTCCCCCCCTTCTTCTTCTTCTGGGCCACCACCCTCCCCCCTTCCCTACCTCCTCCTCCTCCTCCTCCCTTCTTCTTCTTCTGGGCCACCACCCCTCCCCCCTTCCCTACCTCCTCCTCCTCCTCCCTTCTTCTTCTTCTGGGCCACCACCCCTCCCTCCCCCCTTCCCTACCTCCTCCTCCTCCATCTCCTCCTCCCTTCTTCTGGGCCACCACCCCCTCCCTCTCCCCTTCCCTACCTCCTCCTCCTCCATCTCCTCCCTTCTTCTTCTGGGCCACCACCCCCTCCCTCTCCC